TTTTTCATCCTTGCCCAGATTTTGCTGGCGGCCATAACGGCGCGGAGACCCCGCTGGAATCTGCGCTTGCTGCAGTGAAGAAAACTGCCGGTGAGCAAAGGGAAACACAATCCGATTTTTCCCGGGCATTGCTTGCTGGAGGGGACAGCCTGTCGCCACCCTCAAGGCCTTTGGACTTCACCCCGTGCACAGTGATTGAGTCCTTAGCACGCCGGCCCCTGAGCTGTTTTCTTCACGTTTGTGATCAATCCCAACACGAGCCGCGGAAGCCACTGACGTGACCAGGATCCATGCCGGGAGGCAGAGCCTACCTTTGGGGAAAGGGCATTGCTGGCTCCCATGGGTCTATCGCACGTCCTGGGGTACCTGGTGTTTTTCCTATGGCCCCAATAGCAGGTGTCAGGGGCCGGCCAGCAAATCTCGGCGGGTGTTAAAACATACAGAAGTGGGTAGTTGTCATGACTGAGAAAAGTTTGAAAAGGTGACTCCTTTGGCTCAGGCTTCAGAAAGCAAAGGGAAAGATCCCGGCATTTATCACTGGATAAAATTGCCTGATTTTTTTAAGCTAATCTTAATAATAATTAATTAATAAACAATATTAATAATCAATACATAAGCCAATCAATAATTTTCAGGGCCAGATGATTGCTTTCTGAACACCTGGAATTTGGCCCTCCTGGGGGAGTGTCCTTTGTGGCTGGGGTAAGATTGGGGGGCTGGATGGGGGAAAGGAAGATCCAAGATTTAGCAGGATATAAAATTCATTCTGAGTCCCCCCACTCCCCGATCTTTAACCCTCCTGTCCCGAGTGTGTGGTGGGTGAAAGCGAAGGATCAGAGAGCGACATGTATAATTGTTAATTATTGATATTCCTGAGGTTTGCTAGGTGCTGTGCAAACGCAGAGCAAAGAGATGGCCCCCAATGGAGCCCTCACTGGCTCTTTGAAGTGGGACGGGGGGGGTGCAGACCCAGCATGGGGTGCTGACCGTGGGTTTGTGCTGTTCTCTTGCAGCCTGCAACGTCTTGTACCTCAACTCGGTGAGCGTGGAGTCGCTGACCGGCGCCTCGGCGGTCCAGAGAGCTGTCTCTTCCACCTTCGAACTGGAGACGCTGCCCATGCCCACCATCGTCCACTTCAAAGTGACTGAGCAAGGAATAACCCTGACCGACGTCCAGAGAAAGTAAGGACGGTCGTGCCGACCTGCTGCAGCTGAGAGGCTGGCCTTAGACTTCCTGGGGGGGCGGTGCTTATGACAGCGCTGCTGCGGATTGGTCAAGGCTGGCCGAGTGACTCGATTCCGGCATGAATGAGGGAAGGGCTCTCTAGGACCTCATTCTCTTAACCCTGAGCTTCCCCTCTAACATGGGGCCAAAGTCTCTCCCCGGGTGGCAAGCCCAGCGTGAAGTCCAGGGGGAACTCTGGGCCAAATGAATCCCTGCCTCAGTGGGGGCACCCCGCGCCAGGCTGCATCCGACCCGCTACACTGAGCCGTGCTTTGAACGAAGCCCAGGTGCTTATGCCGTTGGCGCTTTGGTGACGGGAGCTAGAATCAGGCTCCACATTCACATCACTGGTCAGCTGAGGTCGATGGGCCCAGTGATGCCCTCCCATCAGCTCATTCCCTGCCCCAGGAGGAGCTCAAAAGTGGTATCCTCCCCATTGCGTTATCCAGGCGCTGCCTCTGTTAAAGCATGCTCTTCTTCCCCTCTGCAGGGTGTTTTTCCGGCGGCATTATCCCCTCGCTGCCCTCAGCTTCTGTAGCATGGACCCTGAGAACAGAAAGTAAGTTGCAACCAACTGCTCTGCAAGTTGGGGTAGTTAAGCTAACCAGGGAGCAGGGTGGGTGCTGTCGGGTTCATTTGACCCTGGACGGAAAATAACTACCATGTGTCAAAGATCTAAGATACTGACACGATCAATCTTCCGGAGTTTGATTTAGTGGATCTAGTAAAGACCCACTAAATCGAACTCAGAGCGTGCCCCTGTTGGCAGCCAGTACTCATGCTCCTGCAAGGAGTAACGGAAGCCAATGAGAGTGTTTGCTCCCTTCAGCCTCCCGTTGTGGGAGTGGCAGAGAAACTCGAATCAGAGAATGTCGATTCCAGCTAGGAGTTGCGTATCTTAATTTGGCCATCCCCTTTAGTGTAGACCTGGCCTAAAACCACATGAGCACAGGACTGGAGCAAGGATTAGCCCTGAGCTGAATGTCAGAACTGAAAGAACTGATCAAATTTCAGAAAAGACTAATTTGCAGTTCAGCTTTTTCCCCCCCAGTAAACGTAACCATTTTCTAGTTACCTATTAATCAGACGCGGCTAATCAGATTAAGGGTCTTGATTTCTCTTGGATACTTATTCACCTCTTTTCTTTCAGGTGGCAAAAATACTGCAAGTCGTCACGGTAAGCCTCATCCAGAGACACTCCCTTAAAACACAGGAGGAAAGGGATTGTATTTCCTGGGTTCCGGTTACTTATACAGACACATTTCAAACAACAGTGGAAGAGAGAAGCAGGCTAAACCCGGAAATTAGAAACCCAACGATAAGAGGCGAAGTGAAACTTTGTGGGTGGCTTGAATAGATTTAGGAGAACTCATCTGTGCTTTGTAATGAAACCCTTGTGGGGTGGAAGGGTGGTACGACCCATATAGACCCACGCGTGGTGAGATCTTTGCTCTAGCTGCAGCTAGAGGGATGAATTTCACCTCCCGTCAAATCCTTAGAATAATAGGAGATTAGGATTGGAAGAAATCTTCCGGAGTTTGATTTAGTGGATCTAGTAAAGACCCACTAAATCGAACTCAGAGCGTGCCCCTGTTGGCAGCCAGTACTCATGCTCCTGCAAGGAGTAACGGAAGCCAATGAGAGTGTTTGCTCCCTTCAGCCTCCCGTTGTGGGAGTGGCAGGGAAACTCGAATCAGAGAATGTCGATTCCAGCTAGGAGTTGCGTATCTTAATTTGGCCATCCCCTTTAGTGTAGACCTGGCCTAAAACCACATGAGCACAGGACTGGAGCAAGGATTAGCCCTGAGCTGAATGTCAGAACTGAAAGAACTGATCAAATTTCAGAAAAGACTAATTTGCAGTTCAGCTTTTTCCCCCCCAGTAAACGTAACCATTTTCTAGTTACCTATTAATCAGACGCGGCTAATCAGATTAAGGGTCTTGATTTCTCTTGGATGCTTATTCACCTCTTTTCTTTCAGGTGGCAAAAATACTGCAAGTCGTCACGGTAAGCCTCATCCAGAGACACTCCCTTAAAACACAGGAGGAAAGGGATTGTATTTCCTGGGTTCCGGTTACTTATACAGACACATTTCAAACAACAGTGGAAGAGAGAAGCAGGCTAAACCCGGAAATTAGAAACCCAACGATAAGAGGCGAAGTGAAACTTTGTGGGTGGCTTGAATAGATTTAGGAGAACTCATCTGTGCTTTGTAATGAAACCCTTGTGGGGTGGAAGGGTGGTACGACCCATATAGACCCACGCGTGGTGAGATCTTTGCTCTAGCTGCAGCTAGAGGGATGAATTTCACCTCCCGTCAAATCCTTAGAATAATAGGAGATTAGGATTGGAAGAAACCCCAGGAGTCATCGAGTCCAACCCCCTGCTCAAAGCAGGACCAATCCCAACTCAATCATCCCAGCCAGGGCTCTGTCAAGCCGAGCCTTAAAAACCTCCCATCCCATCCCAGTGCTTCCCCACCCTCCTAGTGAAATAGTTTTTCGTACTATCCAACCTAGACCTCCCCCACTGCAATTTGAGACCATTGCGCCTTGTTCTGTCATCTGCCACCCCTGAGAACAGCCTCTCTCCAGACTCTTTGGAACCCCCCTTCAGGTGGCTGAAGGCTGCTTTCAAATCCCCCCTCACCCTTGTCTTCTGTAGACTAAACCAGTGTTTCTCAACCAGTGGTACGAGTACCCTTAGGGGTACTCGAGAGAAGTCTGGGGAGTACGTCCACACAATTGAAGTTTTGAGAAACCTGAATTTTTGCTTTAAGTTTTACAGCGTTTTATTATTTTTGTACTTTTTACACCCAAAAATTTCATCACCCGCCCGGCTACCATTAAGTTGTTTGAACAAATGGGTTGCAATGGTACAAAACAATGTTGCATGCCTGAAAACTGTAGGTAGTGGGGTACTTTTATTATTATTATTATTATTATTATTTTACTTTTTATTTTTATTGGAAAAAGTGTTACTTTATAAAAAAAAAAAAGTTGAGAAACACTGGACTAAACAAGCCCAAATCCCTCAGCCTCTCCTCGTAAGTCACAAGCTCCAGCCCTCTCTGCTGGATTTTCTCCAATTTGCCTCCATCCTTTCTGTAGTGGGGGGGCCCCAAACTGGACACAATACTCCAGACATGGCCTCAGCAGTGCTGAAAGAGGGGAATAATCCTTCGACTCCCTAATCTTCCCATGGCCCACTTATTTGTTTTCTCGGTGCTCAGGTAGTGAGTTCCTATAAGACTCCAAGAACCCCCTGCTCAAAGCAGGACCAATCCCAACTCAATCATCCCAGCCAGGGCTCTGTCAAGCCGAGCCTTAAAAACCTCCCATCCCATCCCAGTGCTTCCCCACCCTCCTAGTGAAATAGTTTTTCGTACTATCCAACCTAGACCTCCCCCACTGCAATTTGAGACCATTGCGCCTTGTTCTGTCATCTGCCACCCCTGAGAACAGCCTCTCTCCAGACTCTTTGGAACCCCCCTTCAGGTGGCTGAAGGCTGCTTTCAAATCCCCCCTCACCCTTGTCTTCTGTAGACTAAACCAGTGTTTCTCAACCAGTGGTACGAGTACCCTTAGGGGTACTCGAGAGAAGTCTGGGGAGTACGTCCACACAATTGAAGTTTTGAGAAACCTGAATTTTTGCTTTAAGTTTTACAGCGTTTTATTATTTTTGTACTTTTTACACCCAAAAATTTCATCACCCGCCCGGCTACCATTAAGTTGTTTGAACAAATGGGTTGCAATGGTACAAAACAATGTTGCATGCCTGAAAACTGTAGGTAGTGGGGTACTTTTATTATTATTATTATTATTATTATTTTACTTTTTATTTTTATTGGAAAAAGTGTTACTTTATAAAAAAAAAAAAGTTGAGAAACACTGGACTAAACAAGCCCAAATCCCTCAGCCTCTCCTCGTAAGTCACAAGCTCCAGCCCTCTCTGCTGGATTTTCTCCAATTTGCCTCCATCCTTTCTGTAGTGGGGGGGCCCCAAACTGGACACAATACTCCAGACATGGCCTCAGCAGTGCTGAAAGAGGGGAATAATCCTTCGACTCCCTAATCTTCCCATGGCCCACTTATTTGTTTTCTCGGTGCTCAGGTAGTGAGTTCCTATAAGACTCCAAGAAACGTTTCATCGTCAGGAGGATCCCGGCCGGTTTTTCCTCGGGAATGTAACTGGGGAAGGGACCGCGTGGGTTTGCTGTTCTTGGACGTTCGCTCTGTGACTTGCTTGAGCTCATTCTCCTGCAGTTTGGAACGCAACCTAACCGGGCCTGTATTTGGTCTCTCTCTTTCTCAAAGGATCTTTGGCTTCGTCGCCAAGAGCCAAACGGACGCCGAGAATCTCTGCCACCTCTTTGCCGAGTACGACACGGTGCAGCCAGCTTCCCCGGTCATTGACTTGATCCGCAAACTCCTCCCGGAGCAGTAGAGGCGGCTGAACTGCTTCCAACCTTGTTGCGTTTTTGGCAACCGCGCGTATTTATAACTTTGGGGATGTACTTTGATGCCGAGACTTTCAGAGGAAGTTTTGACTCTCCCTGCTCAGTCCTGGGAACCTCCGCTGGGATGGGGTCTCTTTCGAGAGGAATCGCGTGGAAAGCTTGCCCCTGAGGAATGTCTCGGGCGTACCTAGTGCAGCTTGCAGGAAGCCAGACGGCGGAGGAGCCCAAGAGGGCTTGGATTTGCCTTGCCAAGTCCTTTGCTCATTTGACGGGGATTTGGTTCGTTAACAGGCTGGGGAAGTTTTGAGAGCAGTGTCTGTCTTCACATAACTGGCGGGTCACATAGGCTGGGGGAGGCTGGGCCTCTCCAGACAGTCAGCTGTGGCCTTGCTCCTATCCTGCCCAAGCCACTCCACTTGTGAGGCTCTTCTCAGGCCCCCTGTACTCCAGCCGGGACAGGGGCTGCTGGAGCCACCCACGGCCTGCCTTCCCATGCTCTGGGATGGTGGGATAGCTGGGGCTGCCTGCTTTCCTTGTGCTCCAGGCCTGGGTAGGGTGCAGCCTCGTGCCACCTGCTCTCCCCACGCTCCTTAGCTAGCCTCAGGTGGGGCCACACTGGGGAAGGGGGCTCTGGGCTCCAGTGGGGGATGGAAAGGGCAGGGCTTGAGATGGAAGGGGCAAGCCTGAGGACTAGTGCCCCCAGCCAGGGGTTCACCCACCGCCTATGCATCTTGAGATCCTTAAAGGGGTCCGGGCTCCCACCCTCCAAAAATCCCAGTTAGCACCACCCAGGTTACTCTGCAAGAGGTGAGACAAGCACCTGCGCTAGGCTGACCGGCCCGCTACATAGCCGGCAGGTGTGCATTTTGCCCACCAAGGCCCCCACGAAGATTTGCTTCTGACAAATCTTGGCTCCCTCTGATTTTGAGACAGAGCTGTCAGGCCAAGCAGGGGGTTTTTTTTAACTTTGCCAGGGCTGGTAAATTTGGGGGCCCTTTTTGGCTAGGCTGGTTGAGACCAGCTCCAAATCCCCGGCTCATCCTGAGCAGAGAAATAAACCCTGACATTTTCTGGACAGCACCGTGTTGGCTTTTGGGAGGAGACTTACCAGTATCGCAGCCAGACCCTCAGTGAGGCAAACTGACGGGGCTCTGGTGCTATTCTGGTTTACAGCCTGAGTCTGGGACAGCAGCGTTAAAGTCAGAAGGTAGAGCCGTGCTCAAAATATACCTTTGATCCTCCCTTTTTAAAACTCCCATGGTACTGTCGATGGTTTTTGTTTGAGGCTCTTTTATCCGGAGTATGAACAAGTCTGACGAGAAGGTATTTTCTGTCTTAATGGGGGATTGTTTCACTCACCACGAAAGCTAGTGTGGAGCTTTTAACAACCGAACTATGTTACTGTGTGCTGCAAGCGTGTGGATGTATGTGTAACTAAAGAAAACCCCTGTATCCTCCAACATGACTTTGAAAGACTTCCTTGGCGGCAGGAAAACACTGAGTGCATGTGGCGGGATTGCTCCATGCAAGACAAGCAACAGGCCCCAACAAGATAAAGCCTTTTGAGCATTTTCTATCACGCACAACAAGTTTTTTTCGGCCTCCGGTGTGGTTTAATTACAGCACACTCTGTGCGATTCGAGGTCTGACTGCACCACCAGGCCAAGCAGGTGCACGCCGTAGGGAAGTAAGACTCCAAAAATGCTTGGGGGAGCTCAAAGCACTCCTGGAATTTGCACCTTCCCAGAGGAGTCGACAGGCAGGCTTTGTCTGCACTGGCACATTTTGCTGCCCACAGCTGCCTTTTGGCGAAAAACCAGTGAGAGTGTTTACATTGTGATGCAACTTTTGTCAGGGAAAACACCCAGTTTTGGCAACAAAAAAATCCTCCCCCGTGAGAGACTTCTGCCTTTTTCCCCTCCCTTTATTGTCGACCGTGTGGACACTGTGGTTTGTTTTGCCAAGAGAACTGGCTTCCACCAGTATCCCACCATGCCTGCCCTGATGGCTGTGCTCAGTGTTTTGTGATCTCTGCTGCCCTGCAGGCATGCGCCCTTCCCCTTTCACAGCTCTGGGAAGTATCTGACAGGTGAGTGAGCTGAACAAACAAAAAGCAAATTATTGGACTGCTCCTGTTCTGCCCTGCCAGGAACACAGTGGCAGGCTGACTGTTGCTGCAGCGGGAGGGCTGGAGAGACAGCTGTGCTGCTTTGACGTTCCTCAGCACGGAGAGCTTGCAGAGCCTTAGACACGGGGTCACATGAAAGCAATGGAGAGACAGATTTGTCACAAGATTTGAGCCTTGAATGAGACTAGCTCACTTCAGCTCTGCTCTCATCCGGGGTGCTCCGCGTACATGCTGTCCCTTATTAAAGCAGGGGGCTCCAGTAAATAAGAGACCAAATTGCATCACGAGGTCATTGGATGGGGAGATCCAAGGTCTATTTCCCCCTTCACTCAACAGTCATAAGATGGTCTTGTCCCCCAGGAGCATGAGTAGGTGAGCCAGGAAACTGAGCAAGTGAGTCTGGGGAATCACATTGACATGTGTGCATGGGCTGCAGTCTTCACTGTCTATCCCACTAACGCCGTCTGCTTTACCGACTCGATCATTTGAAATCACGGGCAATTCATCTGTGTCTCTTCCTCCATGAATCGCTGCTGTGTCACAGCATTTCCCATGCAATTGACATAGGATTAAAAGGTTACGGAAGCACAAGGCTGCATAAATCTTGGGGCTTGTTCTTTGGCCTGGTGTAGTGGTTAGAGCACTTGACTGGGACCCCTGTAGCCTTGGGTTCTATTCCTGGCTTCCCATGACCTGGTGTGTGACCTTAAGTAAGTTCTGGCGTCTATGTACCTCAGTTTCCCCTCCTACTCTTTGCCCATCTTGTAGTAGCAAATATTTACATAATGGCAGTGCCCAAAAGATCCCAGTTGGACACTCGTACTTCATGCCGTGCAAAGATAGAGAGAGACCAGGTAAGACGGCACTCTCTTTGGGTCAGGGCTACCTCTCCCTTTGTACAGCACCCAGCACAAAGCGGCTGCAGGCCCAGGATGTTACATTATTGTCATAGTGACTGACAAGTTTTCCTCACATAGACAGACGAGTCATCTAAAATGAGGCCAGAGCATTAAAATGCCATGGGGTTGGCATTCTTGAACCAGCTCGCTCATTTCTATTTAAAAGCATGTAGCATTTTTCTCCTCTTAGACTTTCACTGACAATAGTTAAGAAACTGATTCTTTTCTAGCTGTTCTTTTGCAAGGACAGATTTCAAAGGGCTCTGCTCCAGACACATGATCCATGCCATAGGCCTCTCCGCTTGCTGAATGAGAGGCTTGGGAATGGATTCCCTCTACTTCTGATTCATTAAGAGCCACAAAACAGGGCATCAAACTGGGGTCTTCTGAGCCCTTGTTGAGTAGCCCTAACCACTAGGCCACCTTCAGCCTCACCTGGAGAAGGGGCTGACCTGGTACCTAGGTCTTCTGCCGTTTTACTGATCACCCTAGGTACTAGTAACGGGAGTGAACATAAGAACGGCCATACCAAAAGTCGAGGATACTGTCTTCTGACAGTGGTCAATGCTAGATGCCCCAGAGGGAGTGAACAGAATAGGGAATCATCCAGTGATCTCTCCTGTCATCCATTTCCACCAGCCTCTGACAAACAGAAGCTAGGGACACCATTCCTACCCATCCTGGCTAATAAATATTGATGGACCTATCCTCCATGGATTTATCTAGCACTTTTTTGAACCCTGTTAAAGTGCTGGTCTTCACATCCTCTGGCAAGGAGTTCCACAGGTTGACTGTTTGCCCCATGAAGAAAAACTTCCTTTTGTTTGTTTTAAACTTGCTCCCTATTAATTCCTTTGGTGACCCCCGGTTCTTACGTTATGGGATCAAGTAAATCACTTTTCCTTATTCACTTTCTCTGCACCAGTCATAATTTTATAGACCTCCGTCATATCCCCCCTTAGTCTCATCTTTTCCAAGCTGAAATGTCCTCATCTTTTTATAAGGCAGCCATTCCAAACCCCTCATCATTTTTGTTGCCCTTTTCTGAACCTTTTCCAATGCCAAGATATTTTTGGGAGGATGAGGCAGCCACATAGGCACACAGTACTCAAAGGGCGTACCATGGATTTATAGAGGCAATTAGATATTCTCTGTCTTGTTCTGTATCCCTTTTTAAATGATTCCTGACATCCGGTTTGTTTTTCTGTCTGCTGCTGCACACTGCGTGGATTCCAGCTTCCTACAAAAGCTCCCTCCTCCTCTGCTCCCCAAATGAGTCTTTTCTGGGGCAAGGCCATTAGCCATTGTGCACAAAGGTGCTTTCCCTAGGGAAATGGCACGTCCATCATGTGTAAGAACTATGCCTGTTGAGTGCCCGGCCTGTCCGCTGAAGGGACCCAGTTAGCACCAACTGATGGTTCCTCCGGCATCTCTCTTTTTTCCTGGTACATAAATAGGGGCACCATATGGTTTAACAAAAAATACCAAAACATCTCCCCCCCCACGCCCCCACCAAAAAAAAAACAGTAAAAAATTCTGTTGATCAAAAAAAAAGGGGGGGCGCTGCGCCTTTAAATGGCCCCACACTCTTCACTCTGCCACCCCTGCCAGATGCAGCAGGGGAAAATTGACCCTACCAGACTTCCATCCGAGGGAAACACGAAATACGGTATTTTCTGTTTTGTTTTTTTTTACTGGACAGGGGACCCGAATAACAGACAGTCCTGGTGAAAACCAGATACCTGGCAAGCCTATACACAAATAAAGAGCCACTCGCAGCTGGCATCGAGCGATGAGCATGTAGGACACCAGGGGGCTGCAGCGAGTCAGCTTTTCTCCCCAGCCCCATTTGCACATCCGCTGGGAGTTATAAATACATAGGAAAGTCGGTCTGGCAGCTTGGCTGGTTATTGTAATGCTGTTTTGATTAAACAAAATTTAATCACTTCTGTGACTTTCAGTCTCTGTGCCTGGCCTCTGGGACCGCGATTTCTATTATGCAATCTGTGAACAAGCACAGCTCTAAATTCATGGCCTTTCGGACAACGCTTTCCATGAAAACCTATTTATAATGGCGAAGGGAATATGGAGATCCAAGTGCTCTGGCTCGCCAGCTGATAGCATGAAGAGCAGTTGCTGCTTTTCTTTTTTCCTTTGAGAAAAGAAAATATGCAAAATCTTCCCCACGGAGCTCTGATTCCCACCCCACACCCTCCCCGTTTCAGTCCAAGCTGCAGAAAGTGAGTCCGGTTTTGCAGAGCTCCTCCAAAAAAAACCCCTCTGCTTTGTTGTTGTTTGCGTTTCTGCTTCAAAGCCATTTTGGAGGAGGGAAAAGGGCCTGTGGTCAAGCCAAACCCTTGACATTTTTGCCTTCGGAATGTTTGTCAATGAAGCTCCCTTTGCTCATGAAACCCAGCTGAAGTTTCAGGTCAGACCCAGCCGAAAGCTCCAAGAGAAACTCAGCCCAAACCACCTGGATTGAGGAAGAAAGCAGCCAGCAATTCTCCAAGCATCTCCTGGCCTCCATCGCTTGGCCCCGGCTTCTTGGAAGCTCAGCGCTTGATTTCGGTTCCTCGCGTTGGTTCCAGCCATTTTGCAACAAATCCCAATCTTTTCCTTTCCTGGTTTGTGGTTTTCTCACCACAGCTTCCTGCAGCCGGCCTTGCAAATGCCTCATGTCATCGCTGCCGCTCTGCGTCGGCGACCAGCTCATTATTAATATGTTCAAGTGCAAATACCATGTTTCCCTCACGGCTTCTACACGTCTCAGCCCTGGGCCACACCACCAAAGGACCTCCCTTGGGGGGAGGAGCGGAGCCTGCAGGGGTTGCCAGATACTTTCACAAAAAATACCAAAAATGGCGGGGAGTAGGAATTGGTTGAGCAAAAAAAAAAGGGGGGCGGGGACCAGACTTGTTGAGCAAAAAAAAGGGGGGGGGCCTTTAAATTACCACACTCCCCGCCCCCGCACACCCCCGCCACATGGGGCAGGGGAAAAATTACTTTTTTTTTAACCGGAGAGAGGCTGCAAATTCCGGACGGTCTGGGCCAATACCAGACACCTGGCAACCCTAGAGTGACGTGAGTAGACCGATCCAACTCCGGTGGGGAGGGGGAGGATATAGAGGACAGCTGCCCTGGGGTCTGGCAATTTAAAAGGGCAATGGCCCCGGCCCTTGACATGACTGCTGGAGCCCTGGGTGGCACTGAAGGGATAGCGGAGGGAGGGTAGCTCCAGCCCCGCCCCCTTTTTTACCCTAGGCCTGAGTTGCCTCCCCGTCTACAACAGGGGAGATCAGTGGGCATTATTAAGGGACCAGCTTTACTGCACCCCAGCTAAGGGTCCACCGAAATCCCACCATGGTGGTGATCCACCGGGCTTTCACAAAACGGGCCACAGGATAGCAGGTGAAATCCAGCGTTGATGGGTGAGAAGCAGCGCGCAGGAAACCATCGTCCCAGCCGTACATACCAAAGGAGGGGGTCTAACCTAGCTGTTCCCGCTCAACGCACAAGATCTTGGGGTCCTCGTGGAGAGTTCTCTGAAACCATCTGCCCAGTGGGTAGCAGCAGTCAGGAAAGCTAACCAAATGTGAGGAACCGGTTAGATCGTAAGTCATAAACAATCATCATGCCCCTATATAAATCCATGGGCCACCCACATCTTGAATGCTGCGTGCAGATGTGGTCGCCTCATCTCAGAAAAGAGATATTAGAAGTGGAAAAAGTACAGACAAGGGCAACAGAAATGATTAGGGGTTTGGAATGGCTTCCATATGGGGAGAGATTAAAAAAACTGGCACTTTCCAGCTTGGGAAAGGAACAACTTATGGAGTCTATAAAACCATGAATGCAGTGGAGAAAGTGAGTAGGAAGTGTTTTTTACCCCATCACATAACACATGGGCTAGGGGTCAGACAATGAAATGAATAGGCAGCAGGTTTACAACAAACATAAAGAAGGACTTCTTCACATGACACAGTCAACCTGTGGAACTCCCTG